GGACATGGGACACCATCACTGATTGGGACATGGGCTGTTCTGGTGGCCCCCAGGGACAGGGAACACTCTGGTGTCCCTCAGGGACATGGGTCACCATCAGTGACTGGGACATGGGCTGTTCTGGTGGCCCCCAGGGACAGGGGACACTCTGGTGTCCCTCAGGGACGTGGGACACCATCACTGATTGGGACATGGGATGTTCTGGTGGCCCCCAGGGACAGGGGACACTCTGGTGTCCCCGGGGGCACAGGACACAGGACAGGGGCCACCCCCGGTGTCACCCACCTTTGGTGCCTTTGTACTGCACGAGTGGCAGCGAGCGACGCCTGCGCGAGGCCTCCTTGGGACACTGCACCTCTGGGGACAGGGGGACACGGGTCAGGACCCCGCGGTGTCCCCAACACACACCCCGGTGTCACATCCCAAAGCTCAGAGTCACCTCCCCCATCCATGAGGTGTCACATCTCCGAGGTGTCACCTCCCTGACCCCTGAGGTGCCACCTCCCGCATCCCTGAGGTGCCACCTCCCCGATCCCTCCAGTGTCACCTCCCATGTCCCCGAGGTGCCACCTCCAGTGTCCCAGAGGTGTCACCCCCCCACCCCCGAGGTGCCACCTCCCTGACCCCCGAGGTGTCACCTCCCCGATCCCTCAAGTGTCATCTCCCTAATCCCTCAAGTGCCACCTCCCATGTCCCCAAGATGTCACCTCCCTCGCCCCTGAGATGTCACCTCCCCGATCCCTCAAGTGTCACCTCCCTCACCCCCAAGGTGTCATCTCCCCGATCCCTCAAGTGTCACCTCCCCCACCCTCGAGGTGCCACCTCCCCAATCCCTCAAGTGCCACCTCCCATGTCCCCGAGGTGTCACCTCCCTCACCCCTGAGATGTCACCTCCCCGATCCCTCAAGTGTCACCTCCCATGTCCCCGAGGTGCCACCTCCAGTGTCCCAGAGGTGTCACCCCCTCACCCCCGAGGTGCCACCTCCCTGACCCCCGAGGTGTCACCTCCCGATCCCTCAAGTGTCATCTCCCTAATCCCTCAAGTACCACCTCCCATGTCCCCAAGGTGTCACCTCCCTCACCCCTGAGATGTCACCTCCCCAATTCCTCAAGTGTCACCTCCCTCACCCCCAAGGTGTCACCTCCCCGATCCCTCAAGTGTCACCTCCCATGTCCCCGAGGTGTCACCTCCCCCACCCTCAAGGTACCAACTCCCTGATCCCTCAAGTGTCACCTCCCTGACCCCCAAGGTGTCACCTCCCAATCTCTCAAGTATCACCTCCCACACCCCCGAGGTGTCACCTGCCATGTCCCCGAGGTGTCACCTCCCCCA